TTGGATAAGGGTTGTATCAACATCGTGTGATATTCCTTGGCTTTGTATGAGTATTTTTTTATTGTTGATAGTCGCAAGTAATTAGTGCCAAAAAAAAGTCATAAGTAGACCTTTATAAGACGTGAAGTATTTTTTTAAACCTTTAGCTGTATTTTGTGCTGAAGATGTTAGTTCTGAAACAGTTTCCCAAAGAATATCATTTAACACATAGAGTACGCCGGGATAATGTTTGACAATTTGTTGAATGGCTTGAATTCTTTCACTCCACCTTGTTTCTGAAAAACTATGAAGAGATAACGGTATGTGCTTTTTCAGCAATTCCCATCGTGTAGGACTGTGAGAAAACAAGCAGCAGAAGCTTTCTACATTTCCAAAAAAAGGTTATTACATGACGGTTTATTTTTGTTACATTGAATCCTACACGTTTAACGAATGGGCTCCGCATAAAGAAAATAAGACACATGGTTTTTTTCTAAGATGCGGGCCATAACACCATTTATTTTACCACACATATTTGAACCATTATCGTAACCTTGTGAACGACAATCTTGGAGAGGTGTGTTGTGTCTTTCTAGACTGGCAAATCTTTCTACTGTTATTTTTTCTCCTGTTTTTCCGTTAAAGTTTATAAACGCTATGGAGTGCTCGTTCTTTCGTTTCTTTATTTTGAGATACATACCTAAGAATTAGAACATTTTGTTCGATGTGCGATATATCCGGAAATGCATCAACTATTAATCCATAGTAATTTGCATCTTTTCTTTTGATCTAGAATTATTTGAAGTATTTTATCTGAACATAGCTTTATTAGTTCATTTTGAGAATACCAAGACAAATAATGTGATAGTCCTTTCTTACTTTTTGATTCAAACTAATTTTGTTGAACATTGGCGAGATGTTGCTGCGTCACTTCATCATACTTTCCAATTAATTCTAAAATTCCTAAAAAACTGCCATCATGAACACCACCCAATTGTTGTTTTCTCTCCTTGAAATGCTAAATCTCAAGGTGATATTAATAACTAGCTGGGCGGACCCGTAAAATACGGGTCTTTACCAAACCGATCCTTTTTATACTTATCTAATCATTTCTACGCTATCCGGACAAAAAAAAAAGGGTGTTAGTAAACCTACTCCCCACCGACCTTTTCTATACTTATTCCTAACCTCAATATTTTTTTAAAACCGGTTTTAAAAACTATATGCATATAAAAAAACTATACTTATTTTGGATATGACAAAAAAATTTCTGTTGTAATGTTCTTTAAAAAACTTTAAACGTTTTTAACATAATGCCGATTATAAAGATTTTAATAAGAAAAAAAGTAAAAAAGACTACGAACTTATAAAAATGCTAAAACATTCAACACGTGATGTTGTAAATGTACGCCTTAGTTAACGTTCATAACATATACCCATCTAAATAGATTTTTTTAAAATTCAGTTGTTGCAAACTTGGTTTTGAATTTTTAATTACACTTCTTATGCGTCATAAATAATCTTAAATTCTAAATAGAGAATACGTTTATGGGCTAATTGGTAGACGCGCAACACTTAGACTGATATAGTCATCTCACCCCGGGAGTTCATATTCCCGTGACCTTTTTTTTCATCCCAACTTACAACAAAAATAATTAAAAATAAATGTTATTATTGAAACAGTTTTAAACATTTCTTTCAATTTATCTTTGAACTTAATTTTATTTACGGTAAATATACTTTTGGTGTTTGTAAGCGTTTTTTTACGTTTAGTATTGGTAGGAATTATTTGCACGCGCGTATTTTAAACAATTATTTTTACTGTTTCATCTAAAAATCTTATGTAATTTAGTTTTATAATCTTTTAAATATAATATATATAATTTAAAATATTTTATTAACCCTATTTAAATAAGTATCAAAACTCTTTTCTTTAATTTAAAAGAATGCCTGCCAAAACCTAAACCCTCAGTTGATGTATCTCCGCTTTGCCTTTATTTGTTAACCGTTAGAAAAAAATTAAAAAAAGAAACTTTATATAGCCCATTAGTTTATAACATCCGAGTATCTTACAATTTTAATGGTTTTCTAAATTCTGTCATAGTTGCGCACTCGGTTTAGAATGTATAACGGGGGCGTAAATATGTAACTGTAAAATTCTAAATATTTTTATTATTTTAATATTAAATAGTTTTAACGTTTTATTATTTTAAAAAACAATAAGTTCAATAAAATAATTTATTTTAAAAATAAATTTAAGATTTAAAAATTTTTTTTAATAAGAATATGTTTTTTTAAAGCCCCCTTACTGTTTTAAAAAAATTCAAGGTCGCCGCGTGGCATGTTCAAATCATCAGCTTGCTTTTTTTTTAATAAAATTATTGTTATTCAAAATGCAAAACAAAACAACATTATAGTTCTAAATATTTACATGCTATATACCCATTTTCTTTGCGCGAATACGACTTAGTTGGAGAAAACTTTAAATGTAAAATTAAAATAACATCACAAATAATAAATTTTAAATTATAATAAATTTTTCCTGTTTTTTGACGTTTTTAAAACTTTTAAACTTTATAAAAAATTTTCTTTCTTTCGTTTGTTAAAGTGTTAAACATTTTTGCAGGTGTTAAGTATATAAGTTTTTTTGCAGGTGTTAAGTATATATATATATATATATATATATATATATATATATATATATATATATATATATATATATATATATATATATATATATATATATATATATATATATATATATATATATATATATATATATATATAGATATATATAGATATATATATATAGATATAGATATATATAGATATAGATATATATAGATATATATATATATATATATATATATATATATATATATATATATATATATATATATATATATATATATATATATTTTTTTTTTTTTTTTCTTGCGCATGGTTGAAGTGATCGGACGTGTTTTTGCAGCGTGGAATTATTTGTTATTTTGATTCTTTTTATTTTTATTTTTTTTATTTTATTTTTTTTTAACAAACTACTACTAATAATAAATTTTTGATATGGATACTAAAAGTATTGAAGTACTTGTTGCTGGTTTACTTGAGAAACATAAAAATTCCAACTTAGATGAAACAAAAAAACTTATAAAAAAACAAGAAAAGAGTTTTGCATCCTTAACAGCTGCAAACTTTAAAATGTTCACAGAAAGGCTGAATGAATATGAAAAAGATAATATAAATAATCTTCAAAAGATTAGCAAAATTGAAAATGATTTAGAGATAACAACTAAAAAAGTAATCTCTCTTGAGGCTTACTTTACGGAATTAAAGAAATACATAACGACCAGTGATCAAATTGCTACTGAGAAATTCGAGGTAGTAAAAAAGAAAACTAAAGAAATAAATAGTAAATTAAGGGATAAAAGTGAGTTATTAAAGGTAAAAAGCAAACTAAGAGAAATTGAAGATAGATCGAGAAGGAATAACCTGAGAATCGACGGTTTAAAAGAAAATGATAATGAAAGTTGGAGCAATAGTGAAGAAAAAGTGTTGAAGCTATTTGAAGAATCCCTTGGACTGAAAGAAATTAAAATTGAAAGGGCTCACAGAACTGGAATCAGAGACGGCAAAAAAGTAAGATCTATAGTACTAAAATTACTAAATTATAAAGATAAAGAAAGAATCCTAAAAAGTTCTTCAAAATTAAAAGGCAAAAACATATATATAAATGAGAATTATTGTGCGGAGACGGTACAAATAAGAAAAGAATTACGGATGGAAATGAAAAAAGCTCGAGAAGGTGGGAAATTCGCGTTTATATCATACGACAAGTTGATTGTACGATAATGGTCTCCAAAAGAAAAGTAAATATTTTATGTTTCTTCTAGCTTAACGGTACCTTTTGTTTTTCCTTTTTTTTATATATATGATTTAGATTGTTATTATATTCTACTTTTTTAAAAATGGATGATAATCTTTTATTAAATTTGAATACTGAGAGTGATGATGACTATTTCAATAAAAAAAACTTTGAAAGTGAGTATTATTCAATCCGTGAAGCTACTCATTTTTTGTGTCAAAAAAATAAAATAAATAGTTTTTCAATTCTAAATTTAAACATTCGAAGTATCAATAAAAATTTTGATAATCTAAAATTATTATTGCATGATCTAAATCATGATTTTCAAATAATTACTCTCACGGAAACGTGGTTGAAAAGCAATGAAAAAAACTATAATTATGAGCTAAGTAATTACGTGTCAGTCCACCAACCGCGTCAAAACCACGTTGTCGGTGGTGGTTTAAGTATCTTTGTTCACAAATCTATTAACTTTGAATTGCGTAACGACCTCAGCGTTAACGAAACAGATTGTGAGTCGTTATGCATTGAAATAAATAATAAAGCGACCAAAAATATAACTATTAGTTCTATTTATAGAAAGCCATCTGGTAATTTAAAAAAGTTTCATACCTATCTAAAAACATTTTTAAGCAAAATTAACATTACAAAGAAACACGTGTACTTAACTGGTGATTATAATTTAAACTTGTTAAATCATGCTTCAAATCTAAATGTTCAATGCTTTTTAGATACACTTATACAATACAATATCATTCCCACTATAAATAAGTCGACGAGAATAACTAAGACTTCGTCGACCTTACTAGATAACATATTTACTAATAATTTTCATAATTGCCCTTTAGAATCGGGTATAATTAAAACTGACATAACAGATCATTACCTAATATTCTTAACTACAGATTATATAACCCTTAATCATTCTGTCTCTAAATCAACAATATCAATGCGACAAATCAATAAAAACTCCATAATATATTTTCGAAATCTTTTATCTGAAAAAACTAATTGGGATCTTATATTACAATCGCAAGATGTGAATAATGCGTATGAATTATTTTTGGCGCAGATTTGTAAATACTATGATTTGACATTTCCAGTTATAAAAAAAATTATAAATCCTAAATCATTTTTAATCCCTTGGATGACCAAACGTTTAATCATCAAAGAGGAAACAAAACCTTTATGAAAAATATTTAAAACATAAAACATATAAAAATGAAACAATATATAAAATTTATAAAAACTTGTTTGAAAAAATAAAGAAACAATCTAAAAAAAATTATTATGCAAAATTGCTAGAAAAAACACATGGAAACACACAAAAGACGTGGAATGTAATTAAGCAGATAATCGGTACAAATAAATGTCAAAATAATAAATTGCCAGAAAAACTTTTAGTTGACGGGGATATAATTTATAACAAAGAAGTCATAATTAACAAGCTCAACAAATTTTTTCTTGATATTGGACCAAAATTAGCTGATAAAATTCCAAAAACCAACTCAAACAACTTCGAATCTTATATAAATACACCCAACACATCTATGATAGAATCTAATTTAAACTTAAGTGAGATGCGCAATGCTTTCAACTGTCTAAAAAATAATAAATGTGCGGGCATTGATAAAATTAGCGTAAATGTAGTTAAAGCTGTGTTTGATATTATTGAACCATCACTGTTTCACATTTTTAATCTTTCTTTAAAATCCGGTATTGTACCGGAGAAATTAAAAATTGCTAAGATTATACCTATTTTAAAAAATGGCGATGATACAAATATGTCCAATTATAGACCTATTTCTGTCTTACCATGCTTCTCTAAATTGTTAGAACGAATTATGTATGATAGACTTAACAACTATTTAACTGAGAACAATATTCTGTATAATAAACAATTTGGGTTTAAAAAAAATCATTCAACGGACCATGCAGTAGTCGATCTAATAAATTATGTATCCAATGGGTTCAATAATGATTGCTATACATTAGGAGTTTTTATTGATTTGTCAAAAGCATTTGACACTGTTAATCATGATATTCTAATAAAAAAACTAGAAATGTATGGAGTATTAAACAATAACTTACAATGGTTTAAAAGTTACCTTTCAAACAGGAAACAATACATAATATATACAGAAAATGAAGAAAAAAAACATATCATAACTTGTGGTGTTCCCCAGGGATCAATCTTAGGGCCCTTATTATTCATACTGTTCATTAATGATTTGTATTTAGCATCCAAAATTCTAAACGTTATTTTGTTTTCTGATGACTCAAATCTTTTTTACTCTAACAGAAATATTAAAGATCTGTTTAGAATTTTTAATGAAGAGTTATTAAAAATAAATGAATGGATTACGAATAATAAACTTTCATTAAATGTTGGGAAAACTAAATTTATGTTGTTCCACAAACCTAGTAAAGGTGATAACCTTTTTTTAAAACTACCTGATCTCTTTATGAACAAAAAAGTTATTAAAAGAGAGTCAACTATTAACTTTCTAGGAGTGATATTAGATGAAAATATATCATGGAAATAACATATTAGATCTATTGAAAATAAAATCTCCAAAAATATTTCAATGCTATATAAAGTTAAACCTTTTCTTAATACGGAATCTTTAAAAAACATGTATTTCTCATTTATTCATAGTTATCTTTCCTATTGTAATCTTGCATGGGCAAGTACCAATTATGGGAAGCTCAAAAAAATTTATAGCAAACAAAAACATGCTTGTAGGATTATTTTTGGCGTTAACAGAACTGTTAATGGTGAATCTCTTTTAAAGAAACTTAATGTGCTTAATATTTACAAACTTAATATATACCAAGTTATGCTATTTACGTTTAAAACAAAACATGCGTTATCTCCTAATATATTACAGTCTTACTTTACCAAAATATCTCATAAATATCCCACTAAATTTTTATCTGATAATTTTATTATTCCAAGATCTTATTTAAAACTCAATTCATTTCAAATTCAATACCGGGGACCATTTACATGGAAAGGTTTTTTAAAAATAAAATTAAAAATAAAATTCTTCGAGGCATCTCCTTAGAACAATTCAAAAGAGAATCTAAACGTTTTCTATTAGAAAAAACTTTCGATTTTAAAGATTTCTTCTAAAATCACCTAAAATAATTAAACCTGAAAAAGTCATCACTACTCATTTACTATTGTCTTGTGTATCTTGTTTATTTCTTATTAAAATAAAAAATATATATACTATTAATTTTGAACAAACAAATAACATTTATTCGATTTATTACTTGTGTCTTATATTTGTCGAACTAATATTGTATTGTACTTCAATTTTTCACCTTTTAGTTTTTAACTTGTAACTTTGTGACGTTAATGTAAACGGGGCTTGGCGATAAGACAGTTTATGTCTTCTTCTTGCTCCGGCCAATTTTTATACATGAATTGTTTTTTCTCATTGTAAATTTAATTATACGGCAAAGAAAATATAATAATAATAAAAAAATCTCTACAAATCTTCAAAAGTGATATGTTTTGTATTTAAAAATCGAAAAAGATTAAAAAAAAAATAAACTTCCAGTCGCGGGATTTAAACCCCGGCTCCCTTGATAAGTAGCTCAACAAGTTGACCACTAAGTTACGCTGTCTTACCCGTTAATGAAATTTTAAAAAATATATACTTCACGAAAAACTTTATAAAACAGCAATCGGTCAAAATTTAAGGAGATGTTGCCGCAAAGCAGTTTTCAAGTGAAAGTAAAACTTAAAAACTTGATACATGTTTTAGTATGTTTTGACATTTCGCATTTTGAAGTTTACGTAAGTTAGTTATTAGCACACACTTTCGTTAATGTTTTCTTATAAAAAGGTGCAGCGACTCTTCCTCGCCAGTGCAACCTCGGTTGCAATGGCTGCGTTGGGTTTTGTGTCAAACATGTTCGAAAGGGCACTACTACTACTACTACTACTACTACATTAAAGTTTCTTATTATTATATAGTGATTATCAATACCGTATAATAGAATAAATAAACATCAGAAAAACAACGTTTGCTGACAATTGTTTTTTTTGTTGTATTTTTAATATGATACAAAATGTCAGTGTAAAACTTAAAAAACTACTATGTTAAACATATACAAATGTTAAACAATAAAAAAGATATTAAAAAAGATATATGATAAAAATATGATAAAGTACTGAACAATTAAAAATAATTTATTTTATTATTTACTAGCTAAGTTCTGAAGCACTTCAAAATCAAATTTTTAATTTTGTTGCAAAATTCAAATCTCATTTTATTATAAATTTATTCAAAACTCTATTTACTGCAAAATAAAAATAAAAGAAAAGTTTCGATAAATACTCAACATCCCTGTGACCGTTTATTGCTGTATTGTCTAACGGCGTCCGATTCTCCTTATCTAGAGCATTAATATCGGCTTTGTTGTGTAATAGAGTCTCAACAACGTCGTTGTGACCATTTCGTGCTGCAATATGTAATGGTGTCCAATTATCCTTACCTGAAGCATTAACATCGGCTTTATTATTTAATAAAGTCCCAACAACATCTTTGTGACCATTTTGTCCTAATATATATAACGATGTATTATTCTCCATAGTTCTAGTATCCACCTTGGCGTTGTTGTGTAATAGAGTCTCAACATCGTTCTCATGACCATAGAATGCCACGTTGTGTAATGGTGTATTATTCTCCTTAGTTCTAGTATCCACCTCGGCGTTGTTGTGTAATTGAGTCTCAAAAACATCCTTTTTACCTTGGAATACTGCATAATGTATTGGTGTCTTTTTTTCCTTATCTCGAGAATTAATTTGGCTTCGTTGTTTTTTAAGGTCTCAATAATATCTTTGTGACCATTAGTGTGTTGCTACGTGTAACGGTGTCCCATCCCTCTTATTTAGAGCATCAACTATGGCTCCTTTATCTAATAAAGTTTTAACAATCCCTTTGTGACCGTTGTTTTCTGCATGGTGAAACGGTGTCCGATTCTCCTTATCTAGAGCATTAATATCGGCTTTGTTGTGTAATAGAGTCTCAACAACATCCTTGTGACCATTTTGTGCTGCCATGTGTAACGGTGTCTAATTCTCCTCATCTAAAGCATTAATATCGGCGTTGTTGTCCAATAGAGTCTCAACAATTCTATTTTAATGGTCTATATCATTATTGTTTGATTTTTTTTTTTTTTTTATATGATACTTTATAATCTTATTACTTCCAAAAGTAGCAGCAATATGAAAAGGTTTTTGACTATTAATATAATCAATATGAATACTTAAATTTTGATCAATAAAAAATTTAAGTACTTTTACATTATCTTTTTTGTTTCTCTGAACATCAAAATGTTGTCCTGTCCATTTGTCATTATTATCTCTTGCTTTAATATCTGCTCCTTTATTAATATAATCTTTATCCTTCTCAAGATTACCTTACTTCGTAGCAATAAACATTTCATTTTGATTAAAAACAAGATCTAAGCTTTGGTTATAATAATTATTCAAATCAGAAGGATTCTCTACTATTTTCTGACCAATAATATTTCCTTTTGTAACCAAATCTTTTCCTTCTAAAAGAAATTTTATAGCATTTGAAATAATTGCTATTGATGGATCAAATAGTAAAGCATCAATTAGAGCATCACCATGTGCTAAATAATTGCGTAAAGATTTTCCTATTAAAATAAGAGAATCTTTATGAAAAAACAGCCTATTATTTCCCAAAAGCGATTTATTTTCTAAAATTTCTGCTAAATCCAAAACCAGCATTTCCACTGCTGCTTGTAATTTCTTATTTTGATTATATTTTTGTATAAGTTCTAAATTATTATCAGGCACTAACCGCTTTAATGCTTCTAATCTTTTACTTAATTGTTCAGTATTTTCTTTAAAATTGTTGTCAATAATTGTATTTATCTTATCTGCTAGACCCTTTTTTATATCAATACTAAAATTAATAGATTTGTCAAAATTTTTAAAAGATTCAGACATATCATTAGACTATTCGGACATTAGTAAATTTTGGTAATTATCTCGTACGTTAATTACTATTTTTTCACACTCATCCCTCTTATTAATTTCAAATTTTTTATTTAATTCATTTTGCTTCATTGTGATCTTTTTTTTCATTTCGTTAAACCATAGCGCCCTACCTAAAGATTCATACTCCTTCTGCCTTACTGAATCTTGTTTAATTTTACCATCTTTTAACTTACTAAATACAGCATCAAGTTTCGGTTGTACTTCATAAATCTGTTTTTTAGCTTTTAATCCTTCTTGAAACTTTCCTTTATCTTTTGCTTCTTCTATCTGATTTTCAATATTACTTAAAGTAACACCTACTTTTTTTTTGGAGCACGTCATGATCTTTTTGTTTTTTTTCTAGACTTTCTTGAAATGCACTGATTCTTTTAACCCTTACCGCTTCTAACTCAATAGTAAAAAATATTTTATAGAGAAGTTCATTTTTGTTATTTGACTCATTACTATGTTCCTTTAGTGTAATACTGTCAGAAATCTGTATTACCAATTGTTCAATTTCTTGTAGCTTCTCAGGTTTTATTTGTAACTTTAACTTATCTAAATAACTACAATATAAGTTTTGGATTGTTTTAAGATTAATACTACTGAGAGTTTTTAAATTATTTATTGTTGACAATCCCTCTATGTAACTAGTATTAACGTATGTCAGCCTAATTTCCTGTAAGTCAATACTTTTTTTAATCTCATCAAATAAACTTTGTTCTTGTCCTGTCCGGTCCTTGATTTCATTATTTAGCTCCTTGATCAATTCCCTAGTTCTTGCTAATTCTTTTATATTGCTATCTTCTAATTGTATTTATTCTAACTTAGCTTTTCTAAGACTGTTAATAAGTTTTTTAACCTCTTGCAAATTTTCATGTTTAATAATTTGGTTCAGAAATATTTTAAATGCATCAACTTTCTTCTTATAAAGTATATCAATGATCTCTATCTTAATCTTTTGAAGATCATTTTGAGTTTTATGGACAAACTGAGGATTCTTACTATTTTCTAGCTCTATTTTCTTTTTAAACAAATGAGCATGTGATAAAGAATCACACAATGAAGTAATAATTTCCCTTAAGTCTTTTGGTGCTGAACAAAGTATCATCTTGTGTTTATCATCATATTTATTATGAGATTCCAAAGTGTTTTTTAAACTTTCCCCAATCACCTTAAATATATAAGTAATTAATAAGTTTTCAGCATCATCAATTTTTTTCTTTTTATACAAACATCTTCCAATACAGTATTTTGAATTCAGAGTATCCAGATGTTTATCTCCAAAATGTTCCATTCGCATATTATAAACATCTCTCAATAACTTTTTTGCTTCATCAAACTGATTTTCATTATATAAGTATCTTGCAAACCAGTATTTAGTATTTATTGTATCTAGATGTTTCTCTCCTAAAATTTTGTTTTGTATGGTTTCTATTTCTCTTAATAACCTTTCCTTTCGTCAAATTGTTTTTTTTTTTTCATACAAACAACTGGCAATCCAGAATTTATAATTGATTGTATCCGTATGTTCCTCTCCTAAAACTTCTTTTTGAAGAGTTTCTAATTCTTTCAGTAGCTTTTCAGCTTCCTTAAACTGATTTTTATTATACAAACATCTCGCAAACCAGTGTTTAGTATTAAGTGTATCTACATGTTTCTCTCCTAAAACACCTATTTGCACGTTTTCAACTTCTATATATAACTGTTCAGCGCCATTGAATTCCTTTTTGTCGTATAAACATATTGCAATCCCATATTTTGTTTTTATTGTATCCTCGTGGTCTTCTTCTAATACCACTTTTTGCATAACATTCACTTCTTTAAATATTTTTTCCGCTTCATCAAAATGTTTTCTTTTATACAAACACAAAGCAATTTAGTATTTAGTAGTAAGTGTGTCTACATGTTTCTCTCCTAAATTTTCTTTTTGCATGTTTTCTACTTCTATTAATAATATTTTTGCATTATCAATACCGTATAATAGAACAAATAAATATCAGAAAAACAATCTTCGCTGACAACTGTTTTTTTTTGTGTATTTATGATATGATACAAAACGTCAGAGCGTAAGACTTAAAAAACTGCAATGTTAAACATACACTAATGTTAAGCAATAAAAAAGATATTAAAAAAGAAATATGATAAAAATATGATAAAGTACTCAACAATTGAAACTAATTTATTTTATTAATTATTAGCTGAGTTCTGAAGCACTTCAAATTCAAATTTTTAATTTTTTTGCAAAATTCAAATCTCATTTTATTATAAAATTATTCAAAACTTATTTTAACAAAAATTAAAAAAAAAATAAAAGTCACTATAAAATCTCAAAAACATCCATAAGACCGTTAAATGCTGCATGGTCTAACGGCGTCCGATTCTGCTAAACTAGAGCATTTTAATCGGCTTTGACGTGAAATAGAGTCTCAACAACATCTTTGTGACCATTTTGTGCTGCTATGTGTAATGGTGTCCTATTATACTTATCTGAAGCATTAACTTCGGCTTTATTATTTAATAGTGTCTCAACAACATCCTTGTGACCATTTTGTGCTGCCATGTGTAATGGTGTCCATTTATCCTTATTTGAAGCATTAACTTCGGCTTTATTATTTAATAGTGTCTCAACAACATCCTTGTGACCATTTTGTGCTGCCATGTGTAATGGTGTCCATTTATCCTTATTTGAAGCATTAACTTCGGCTTTATTATTTAACAGTGTCTCAACAACATCCTTGTGACCATTTTGTGCTGCCATGTGTAATGGTGTCCATTTATTCTTATCTAGAGCATTAACATCGGCATTATTATCTAATAGTGTCTTAACAACATCTTTGTTACCCTCTCCTGCTGCCATATGTAATGGTGTCCAATTATTAATTTCTTCTGAAGCATTAACATCGGCTTTGTTGTTTAATAAGATATCAACAATTTCTTTTTTACCATTTTGTACTGCCAAGTGCAATGGTGTACCACTCCCTTTACATTGAGCGTTAATATCAGCTTTATGTTTTAATAGAGTCTCAACAATTTCCTTGTGACCGTTGAATGCTGCGTAGTGTAATGGTGCCCTATTTTCATTACTTAGAGCATCAATTGTGGCTTTTTTATCCAATAAAATCTCAACAACATCTTTGTGACCTTTTTGTGCTGCTATGTGTAATGGTGTCAATTTATACTTATCTGAAGCATTAACTTCGGCTTTATTATTTAATAGTGTCTCAACAACATCCTTGTGACCATTTTGTGCTGCCATGTGTAATGGTGTCCATTTATCATTATTTGAAGCATTAACTTCGGCTTTATTATTTAATAGTGTCTTAACAACATCCTTGTGACCATAGTATGCTGCGTAGTGTAATGGTGTACTTTTCTCCTTAGTTTTGGCATTAATTTCAGCTTTATTGTTTAATAGAATTTGAACCACCTCCTTGTAACCGTTTTGCGTTACTAAGTGCAAAGGTGTCCTATCTTCTATATCTGGAGCATCAACTATGGCTCCTTTATCCAATAAAGTTTTTACAATCTCCTTGTGACCGTTTAATGCTGCTTTGTGTAACGGTGACATATTCTCCTTATCTAGAGCATTAATATTGGCTTTGGGGTCGTGGTTTAATAAAATCTCTATAACCTCTTGGTGACCTTGTTTTGCTGCAATGTGTAACGGCGTCTCATTCTTCATACTTAGAGCATCAATGTTGGCTTTGTTGTGTAATAGAGTCTCAACAACATCCTTGTGACCATTTTGTGCTGCCATGTGTAATGGTGTCCATTTATTCTTATCTAGAGCATTAACATCGGCATTATTATCTAATAGTGTCTTAACAACATCTTTGTTACCCTCTCCTGCTGCCATATGTAATGGTGTCCAATTAATAATTTCTACTGAAGCATTAACATCGGCTTTGTTGTTTAATAAGGTCTCAACAATTTCTTTTTTACCATTTTGTACTGCCAAGTGCAATGGTGTACCACTCCCTTTACATTGAGCGTTAATATCTGCTTTATGTTTTAATAGAGTCTCAACAATTTCCTTGTGACCGTTGAATGCTGCGTAGTGTAATGGTGCCCTATTTTCATTACTTAGAGCATCAATTGTGACTTTTTTATCCAATAAAATCTCAACAACATCTTTGTGACCATTTTGTGCTGCTATGTGTAATGGTGTCCATTTATACTTATCTGAAGCATTAACTTCGGCTTTATTATTTAATAGTGTCTCAACAACATCCTTGTGACCATTTTGTGCTGCCATGTGTAATGGTGTCCATTTATCATTATTTGAAGCATTAACTTCGGCTTTATTATTTAATAGTGTCTTAACAACATCCTTGTGACCATAGTATGCTGCGTAGTGTAATGGTGTACTTTTCTCCTTAGTTTTGGCATTAATTTCAGCTTTATTGTTTAATAGAATTTGAACCACCTCCTTGTAACCGTTTTGCGTTACTAAGTGCAAAGGTGTCCTATCTTCTATATCTGGAGCATCAACTATGGCTCCTTTATCCAATAGAGTTTTTACAATCTCCTTGTGACCGTTTAATGCTGCTTTGTGTAACGGTGACATATTCTCCTTATCTAGAGCATTAATATTGGCATTGGGGTCGTGGTTTAATAAAATCTCTATAACCTCTTGGTGACCTTGTTGTGCTGCAATGTGTAACGGCGTCTCATTCTTCATACTTAGAGCATCAATGTTGGCTTTGTTGTGTAATAGAGTCTCAACAACATCCTTGTGACCATTTTGTGCTGCCATGTGTAATGGTGTCCATTTATTCTTATCTAGAGCATTAACATCGGCATTATTATCTAATAGTGTCTTAACAACATCTTTGTTACCCTCTCCTGCTGCCATATGTAATGGTGTCCAATTATTAATTTCTTCTGAAGCATTAACATCGGCTTCGTTGTTTAATAAGATATCAACAATTTCTTTTTTACCATTTTGTACTGCCAAGTGCAATGGTGTACCACTCCCTTTACATTGAGCGTTAATATCAGCTTTATGTTTTAATAGAGTCTCAACAATTTCCTTGTGACCGTTGAATGCTGCGTAGTGTAATGGTGCCCTATTTTCATTACTTAGAGCATCAATTGTGGCTTTTTTATCCAATAAAATCTCAACAACATCTTTGTGACCATTTTGTGCTGCTATGTGTAATGGTGTCCATTTATACTTATCTGAAGCATTAACTTCGGCTTTATTATTTAATAGTGTCTCAACAACATCCTTGTGACCATTTTGTGCTGCCATGTGTAATGGTGTCCATTTATCATTATTTGAAGCATTAACTTCGGCTTTATTATTTAATAGTGTCTTAACAACATCCTTGTGACCATAGTATGCTGCGTAGTGTAATGGTGTACTTTTTTCCTTAGTTTTGGCATTAATTTCAGCTTTATTGTTTAATAGAATTTGAACCACCTCCTTGTAACCGTTTTGCGTTACTAAGTGCAAAGGTGTCCTATCTTCTATATCTGGAGCATCAACTATGGCTCCTTTATCCAATAGAGTTTTTACAATCTCCTTGTGACCGTTTAATGCTGCTTTATGTAACGGTGACATATTCTCCTTATCTAGAGCATTAATATTGGCTTTGGGGTCGTGGTTTAATAAAATCTCTATAACCTCTTGGTGACCTTGTTGTGCTGCAATGTGTAACGGCGTCTCATTCTTCTTACTTAGAGCATCAATGATGGCTTTGTTGTCTAATAGAGTCTCAACAACATCCTTGTGACCATTTTGTGCTGCCATGTGTAATGGTGTCCATTTATCCTTATCTAGAGCATTAATATTGGCTTTGGGGTCGTGGTTTAATAGAATCAGTATCATCTTTTGGTCACCATTTTGTGCTGCCATGTGTAATGGTGTCCATTTATCCTTACGTGAAGCATTAACATCGGCTTTATTATTTAATAGTGTCTCAACAACATCCTTGTGACCATAGTATGCTGCGTAGTGTAATGGTGTACTATTTATTTTGTTCAGAGCATCAACTGTTGCTTTTTTATCAATTAAAACTTCAACAACAACCTTGTGACCGTTTTTTGCTGCATAGTGTAACGGCGTCTTATCCTTATAATCTAGAGCATTACTATCGGCTTCATTGTGTAATAGAGTCTCAACAACATCCTTGTGACCATATTGTGCTGCTACGTGTAACGGAATTCTTTTTTTATGGTCTATATCATTAATTTTTGATTTTTTTTTTTTTATTAGATACTTTATAATTCTATTACTTCCAAAAGTAGCAGCAATATGAAAAGGTTTTTGACCATTAATATCCTCAATATCAATACTTAAATTTTGATCAATAAAAAATTTAAGTACATTTGCATTGTCTTTTTCGTTCTTCTGAACAGCATAATGAAGTCCTGTCCATTTGTTATTATTATCCCTAGCTTTAATATCTGCTCCTTTACTAATATAATCTTTAACCTTCGCAAGATTACCTTTCTTCGCGGCAATAAACATTTCATATTGATTAGTAACAAGATCTAAGCTTTGGTTATAATAATTATTTAAATCAGAAGGATTCTCTACTATTTTCTGACCAATAATATTTCCTTTTGTAACCAAATCTTTTCCTTCTAAAAGAAATTTTATAGCATTTGAAATAATTGCATTTGATGGATCAAATGGTAAAGCATCAATTAGAGCATCACCATGTGCTAAATAATTTCGTAAAGATTTTCCTATTAAAATAGGAGAATCTTTATCAAAAAACAGCCTATTATCTCCCAAAAGCGATTTATTTTCTAAAATTTCTGCTAAATCCAAAACCAGCATTTCCACTGCTGCTTGTAATTTCTTATTTTGATTATATTTTTGTATAAGTTCTAAATTATTATCAGGCACTAACCGCTTTAATGCTTCTAATCTTTTACTTCATTGTTCAGTATTTTCTTTAAAATTGTTGTCAATAATTGTATTTATCTTATCTGCTAGATCCTTTTTATCAGCATTGAAATTAAAAAATTTAACAAAATTTTTAAAACATTCAGACATATCAGATTTTTCGTTATTTATAGCATTGTTTACGGACTTTAGTAAAATTTTGTAATTATCTCGTACGTTATTTACTATTTTTTCACACTCATCCCACTCTTCAGCTTCAAATTTTTTATTTAATTCATTTTGTTTCTTTACTTTTTTGTTTTCCTCTTCGTTAGACCATAGCGGTCTAACTAAAGATTCATACTTTTGCCTTGCTGAGTCTCTAGTAATTTTACTATCTTTTAACTTACTAAATAGAGCAATAAGTTTCGGTTTTACTTCATAAATCTCTTTCATAGCTTTTAATCCTTCTTGAAACTTTGCTTTATCTTTTGCTTCTTCTATCTGATTTTCAATATTATTTAAAGTAACATCTACTTTATTCTTGATCACGTCGTGATCTTTATGTTTTTTTTCTAGACTTTTTTTAAATGCACTGATTCCTTCAACCCTTCCCGCTTCTAACTCAATAGTAAAAATCATTTTATAGAGTAGTTTATTTATTTTATATGAGTCATTACTATGTTTTCTTAGTGTAATACTGTTCGAAATCTGTATCACCAATTGTACAATTTCTTGTAGCTTCTCAGGTTGTTTTTGAAACTTTGACTCATCTAAATAATAACAACATTCGTTTTGTATAGTTTTAAGATTATTACTTTTGAGAGTTATTAACTTGTTTATTATTGACAATCCCTCTAAGTAACTAGTTTTAACGTTTGTCAGCCTAAATTTCTGTGAGTCAATAATTTCTTCAATCTTATTAAATAAAACTTGTTCTTGTTCTGTCCGGTCTATGAATTCTTTTTTTAGCTCCGTGATCAATTCCCTAGTTTTTGCTAGTTCTTCTATATTACTATCTTCTAGTTGTATTTCTCCTAACTTAGCTTTATTTAGACTGTTAATAAGTTTTTTAACCTCTGACAAATTTTCATGTTTAATAATTTGGTTCAGAAATATTTTAATTGCATCAACTTTCTTCTTATAAAGTATATCAATGATCTCTATTCTAATCTTTTGAAGATCATTTTGAATTTTTTTGAAAAACTGAGGATTCTCACTATTTTCTAGGTTTATTTTCATTGTTAATGTATGAGCATGTGATAACGAATCACGCAATGAAGTAATAATTTCTCTTAAGTCTTTTGGTGCTGAATAAAGTAACATCTTGTGTATAGCATTAGATGCATTAGGAGATTCCAAAGTGTTTTTTAAACTTTCCCCAATTACTTGTAAAGTTCTTTCAATAACTAATATCCCTAATTCTTGCTCCTTATTAAGATCAATTAGTAATGCTAGTTCTACGTATGACTCCATTCGTTTTAAGGAATAAACATTCTTAATTTGCTCGTAATCATTATACAAATTTTTAAAACAAGGATGCTTCTTAACAATAACTGATACAGCACTTTTGCGAGCTGATAAACCATCTTTTGGCTTCGGAAACTTACCATTTATATCTGTTTCTTTAATGCTCGATTCTTCTTTAAGAAATATAGTTTCAAGTGTATTGTTAAAGTTTTTCAGATGGTCTAATAACTTTGTTTTATTAAGTATTAGCTTATAAACAAAATTAAATTCTTGGTGTTTTGTATGGATAGCAATAAAAATAGCTACGCAAAATTCTATTTCTTCCCATGGTAATTTATCGTAAGTTGATTTCAATTGCCGTTTTAATATATGTATATTTTGAGCAACAAATCTAGCTTTCAGTAAAAATATTTCATCTACTTCTTTATCTTCTTTTGAATATCCTTGTAATTGATCTATATGGGCATAGAGCATGTCTATTCGTTCTTTAACAGTGTCAACAGATGCCTTGACCTCTTTTATATTATCATCATTTGTCTCAATAAAAAAACGTAAATTTATTAATTTATCTACAATAAAAAACTCCATTTCTTTTGATAATGGTACGTCTTTTAATTTTAATTCCTCATAAGCTTTACCCAGACAATTCTCAAGTTTTTCTCTACTAGTAGGGTTATCATTATAATCACTTAATCTACGATTAATGAGAGTTTCAAGTAACTCAGCTTTACTTGAACGTATTGCAGCATAAAACATCTTGTGAAAAGTATCATTACCTACACCGTAATTTAATAAAGCATCTTTTTGTTTATCATTAAGGAGAGCAATCTTCAAACCGTTTTCTACCAAATAATTAGCTACAGCCAATCTATCATCATCAGCTAAAGAAAGAGGGGTACAATCATTAATATCTTTAGCATTAATATCAGCACCTTTTTTATTAAAAAAAAGCTGAACAAAAATTATTTCTCAACTTTATTACAAAATAATATTGGAAATAACAAAAAAACTTGGGATATATTTAAGGAAGTGATAGGAAAAGAAAAGAAAACTTGTTGTATTTACTTACCGAAATATTTATACACTGAGGGTGAAAGAACAATGACTAATGAAAAATAAGATATTGCAAACAGTTTTAATAATTTTTTTATAAACGCGGGTAAAAACCTAGCATACAAAAAAACACCATGAAAAAAAAATTTTAAATCATATTTAAAAGAAAAGGACTGTGTAATGGATGAGCTTGAGGTATCGCTTGATGAACTTCGGTTTGCTTTTAATATGATAAAACCAAAAAAAAGCGCAGGTCTTGATGGTATAGGCCCTAAGGTTGTTAATGAAGTTTTTGATATTATTGAGAACTCCTTACTTATTATTTTTAATCTTTCTTTTAAAAATGGCGTTTTTCCTGATCTCTTGAAGCTAGCGAGAGTGGTTCCAATATTTAAGGATGGTGGTATCACAAAGTTATCTAGTTATTGACCTATTTCAATACTCCCATGTTTTTCTTAAATTTTAGAGCAATTAATGCATAATAGACTTTACAACTATCTCACAACTCACAAAGTTTTAAATAATAATCAGTAAGGATTTAGAAAGGACACTCGACAGAACATGCAGTAATTAAATTAGTTAAGGAAATATTAAATGGGTTTGAAAACAACCAATATACTCTTGGAGTGTTTATTGACCTCTCTAAAGCCTTTGATACTGCGGACCATGATATTCTTTTTTACAAACTTGAAATTTATGGAATCAAAAATAATTATTTTAAATGGTTTTGTTCCTATCTAAAAAATCGCAAACAATGCGTATCTTATGACAAAACCTACACTAAATTAGAAAACATTACCTGCGGAGTTCCACAGGGATCTTTTCTAGGGCCTTTGTTGTTTATTATTTATATCAACGATATTTATTTATGATCTAGTATGCTTTAATCTTTATGCTGATGACACTCAAGTTTTTTATACTCACTCTAACATTAAGACAATCTTTACCACTATGAATAGAGAACTTGATAACCTTAATGAATGGTTTAAAGCCAACAAACTCTGTCTGAATCCTAATAAAAGCAAATATACTCTCTTTTCTAAAGCCTCTAAATCTGAAACGCTGCCTTTATAAAGTAGATCCTGCTTGGTATTTTACATCACCAGGATTAGCTTGGGATGCAGCATTAAAGAAAACAAAAATAAAATTAGAATTATTAAGTGATTTTGATATAATCTTAATGATACAGAAAGGAATACGAGGAGGAATTAGTATGATCTTTAACAGATTAGGAACTGCTAATAATAAGGATATGAGTTATGTTAATAAGATAGATGAAGCTAATAATTTATATGAATTAAAAAGTAAATCTGGTTTTAAGTGGCTTGATGAAATGATGGATAAAGGAATACAAGGTGGATTTATTATAAACAAAATATGTTATGTTCATAATTTATACAGACGCGAAATAAGTAAAACACTTCCTCGTTATGAATGGTTGGATGAAATGATGATGACGATAAACAAAGAATTCGAAACAAATTAAATGCAACTAATGATTTTGAAAAAGGCTTTTTTAAGCTTATGAATAATTCAGTATTTGAAAAAACAATGGAGAATATTAAAAAAAGAGTTAATGTTAGATTAATAACAAACAGATATGAAGCTGAAGCTGAGAACTTGGTAGCTATCCAAACAAAAATGACAAAAATATTATATAACAAACCCATTTATTTAGGTATGTGTATCCTAGATTTGAGTAAAACACTAATGCATGAGTTTCACTATGACTACATACAAAATAAATACAATGATAAAGCAAAGCTATTATTCCCAGATACAGTCTCTTTAGCCTATGAAATAAAAACAGAAGACTTTTATGCAAGTATTTCTAATGATGTTGAAAGCAGATCTAAAAATCACCCAGCAATTAAAAATGTTGGTTTTAAAGTAGGTGCTAATAAGAAAGTAATAAGAATGTTTAAAGATGAAGCAGCAGGATCACAGATTGAGGAATTTGTAGGACTCAGATCCAAGTTGTATTCTTACAAAAAACACGGAAAAGAAAATAAAAGATGTAAGGGAGTAAAGAAAAAATTTGAGAAAAATTATATAACACATGAAGATTACAAAGAATGCTTACTAAGCAAGAGAGATCAGATGAGGAAAATGAATGTAATAAGATCTCATTTACATAAAATTTACACGGAAGAAATTAATAAGATAGCATTAAGCTCAACAGATGATAAAAGAGTCATCTTAGAAGATTGCATACACACATTAGCATATGCTCACTTTAAATTAAGTATAGAAAAAGATAATGACATAGTAAAACCTAACTTTTCATTTCAGTAAATTATCGTAACACAAGCGTGAATAGCGCTAATGAATTTAAGAGACTCAGTTTCCTCCTTAGCGTGAACCTATTAAAAAATTGAATTTAGGAGACTCGGTTGACCTCGTTAGCACTAATAGCGCGAATTTAAGAAAATGAAATAAAAATGTTTGAAATGAAATAAAAATATTCCACTTTTTATAGTTACGATATAATTATAAAAATTCGCTCATGCGCTCTGAATTTTTTCTTTTTACGAGGAAACCGAGTTTTCTATACTTGTTTTGCTTTTATGGTTGAAATGATAGCTGAAAAAAGTTGGACTTAATGGTTGTGATGTACCTAATACAAAAATTATCACTTTTTATATAATTTTTTTTATTTTTTATGAAATTTTTACAATTTTTTAGAATTTTGAGCTAGAAATTACGGATACATTATAAATTGAAATAACTTTTACAAATATATGGTATGGTTAATGGACAAAATTAAAAATGTGCCAGAACCGGCAATTCTCTACTACTGTCGGTTGATTAAAAGTTTTAGAGATAGCTAATGCCTGTTGATTGATTTTGTTTTTGTTAAGTAGAAATAACCCAGTATATTCGAAACCAGCAGTAGCGTGCAAACGTGTAAAGCACTTAACGCTCTCATACACCTATTTGAGCAACGTAGGAAAATTTTTTTATCCAAGTTTTTTCATTTTGCGTCTTTGTAATACTTGGTAAGAACTGCCTTCCACACTTACTTAACATGGCAATAGACACCTCTGTCCAGTGGCTGAAGAATGTGAGATAAGTGGGCTGGTAGACAAATCAAAATTATATTGTTTTCTCGACATAGCAATACTAAACTGACGTGAGACGTATGTCTATCAAGATGTAAATTATGAGTACCACTAATAGCTTGACATTCTGGTATATACACTTCCTTCAACCATTCAATAAATGTGTCATGCTCCATCCGACCAGATTTAGAAGTTGAATATTTGGTACCAGTTGGACCATCTAAAGCCCACTCAGCTCTAAGGTTTCGTTTTGCTTTGTATACCACGAATGGTGGTGTAAAGTATCCATCAGCATTACAGCAATTGTTCATTGTATAATGGATTTTTTCATTGTTACCAGTGAGTTTCAAAACACGTTTTGCACCTTTTTGACATATTGCAGTTGCTTTGCGTTGATTACCATAGAAACACGTTTCATCGCAATTCCAAATGTGACAACCAAAAGTTATCCAAGACAATTGATATTGTTTATTGACAACTTCAAAATAATTATAAAAAATTTATTGTGTACAAGAAGCGGCTCTGGTAGATGCTTAAGTGTGAGTTTTTCTTGTGGAAATTTTTTAGACCATCGGTTTATAAATGCATAAAACCAGTCTTTGCCAGGCCTGCCGTTTTTAAATAGGCTTGATTGATTTGTACAAAAAAGGTAACCACATACGAAGTTCGTGACATCATTTCGTGTTAAACCATAACCCAAATCACATAGAAACTTAAACGCATGCACCATAATTTACTCTGTTCGCTGTGAGAGTACGGTTGTTGATCCTGATCCCTTGAAGCTTGCATTGTTGTTGTTTTTGCGACCTATTAGAGTTGAGTATGGAATGCCATATTTGAATGCAGCTTTTCTGATTGAAGTATTTTTTACTTTTATATCATTCAACGCAGCTTCTATTTCTTCTTCATTGTATGACTTTTTACTTGTTGTCATCTTGAAAGTGAATAATTAATAAATATCATTGAGTCATTTTTATAAAATAACTTAATATAGGAAGAACCCGGAATTAACACATGAGAAAATCCAATAATTAATTCACCTAGGTACCTAATTTAAAAATTCACATACGACTTAATAAATAAATAAGTAAATGATCGGTTTTACCAGAAAAAAATGAATACTAATTTTTTGAAAAAAATTATGTAATCGGTATTAAAATTAAATTTTCTACAAGATACACGTAAAACTATTTTTAAACGAATTATAGTTCCCAAATTATTACGATAGCAAGTTAAAGCAAAAAGCTAATTTTTACGACTCTCTTTTAAACTTTTATAAAAATAAAATGACTTAAAAAAGATTTGGACTTTATTTTGACACATTTGAATAAAGGAGATGATCTCTTTCTTCTGGTGTTTTTGTTTTTTTAAATATTCCTTATAGCTCTGGTTTTATTTCAATTATTCGATCAGTGATCGAAAAAATAGTATGATCGGTTTGACCCACTTTTACTCTAAAACGTTGTTGAGACAAACAAATGCTGTAAAACTACTAATTGATTTAATGATACATATGTCATACAGTGAATAAATAATAAATTTGTTATAAATAGTGTTACTGATATTTACCTCTCTAAAATTACCAGGTAAAAATAAATGCTAACGTATATTACTGATATAATATACATATATATAAATGTATATGAACGTGTGTTCATATACATTTATATATATGTATATGAACACACGTTCATATACATATAAATAAATACAATTATATATATGTTTATGAACACATGTCAGTCTTATATAAATTTATACACACACTTTAAAAAATTTTTGTATTGTAAATTTTTCAGATAGTAAGTAACAAATACTTTATTAATTTATTATTATTAAGAAATTGTTAATCAATTATTGTTGTTAAATCAGAACTAAATAAATTTACAATGTTTCAGTAATGTGTAAAATCTTGTAAAAATAAAAGATTCTTCTAATAAAATCTTCTTTAATAAATCTTTGATCAAAACACATTTTTATTCAAAGCACTAAAAGCCCACGACGGATTAAACATCTGTGCAAGGAGTCTATCTGAATTTACCAATCAGTTAAGAATTGTCCAAGAGTATCTTAGATCTTGTAAAAGACCAGAGTAACAAAATGTTGGCCGATGTATTTATTCCTTCGAGAACCTGACAAGGATTAAATACCTGTCTGTGTTAAAAATCTCTCATTATATAATGCACCAGTGTGTTAGAGCTATTTAGAACGGTATTAAACCAAGTTTTGTAAAAATTCCTGAGTTTGGTGGAAAGAAAGAGAGATACAGAGATGCATATGGGTAAAGATTATCAGGCAACATGGTCAATGTTGGTAAGTAAGTACTAATTTTTTTTTAATTGCAGTATTAGCAAATTTTCAAAAGCATTTTTTTACAATCGTTTTTTTACAATCGTTTTTTCAATCGTTCTGCATATTTTTACTAAAAACTAAATAGACATTTTAATATAAAATTAGATGCTTTTGTAAATTATAAAAAATATTGATATTGAAATCTAAAGTTCATAAAATTTGAAATTTTTCAGTTTTTTAACGTCAGTATATTATTTTCCATTTATTATAATAAATAATTAAATATTCTAATATTCTTTTAATTACATTAAAGC